AAATTTAAAGTGTGACCAAAGTACAATGTCAGGGTTGAACTAGCAGTATTTTCACTCAACATGTCTCAGGTTCAATGAGATAAGTACATGAACTATCCTAGCAAATTAAGTCTAAAAAGCCTTGTGATGCAATGCTGTATTTGTAATGAGTATCCCTGTTAACCCAAACTCCAGAACATACTTCCACTTTCGAAGAACACCTACTGCCCTATTCAAGATGGGCCTCATCCGGGTTAGTTACGATTTCTTGTCCATGCAGAATTTCCTCCAGCCACAGTCCTAACAGAGCTCCCCTGACTCTCAAGGCTTTCCCTGCCTACGATCAATGAAATGAAAACAGCTGTGAGCCCCGCAAGTTCTGGGGGTTTGCACTTCATTATCTTTGCTCAACCATCACAATGTTTTGTTGAGACCGTAAAAAGTTTGAAACATAGTAATGTGCGATCGAAGTTTTACCTTAGGGCAAACAGCTCACCGATTTTCTGCATAACTTCTTTGTGAGATAACTTCACTTTCTTCCCAGCTTTCAAAGCCTATGTGGGAGAAAGAACAAAGCCCACATAAACAGCATTGCAATGTAACCAACCTGCACAGAAGACACATACAAATATAACTACACAGATCTCCTGTTTTTTTTGTCATGATACCCTAAACAACACACTGTAACAACTTTTACACAGCATACACACCACACCAGGTATTGAAAGCTACCTGGAAGTATCTTTTAAAGTACAGAAGAGGATGTGTGTGGATTACAAACCTACACAATTCTAGACAGGGGACTTGCGCATCGGTATCTTCAGGGGACCCACCCCTGACACATTCCAAGACAGGACAGTATGTTGCATGTACGTGCACACAAACCCCTTTAATAAGTATTAGGCACATAAGCAAATTCTGAAGAAGCAGCCTTCTGATGCTACGTAAACATCTCTTGGGTGACCGTCTCCCCTATGAGTGTTTAAATTCAGCCTTTTTCGGGGAGAGGGGAACTCATTTATTTGAAAGGATGAGAGATCCTTCATGTGTTGATTCACTCCCCATATGGGAGGAAGCCAGACACTAGGAACCCCATTTTGGTCTCTCATGGTGACAGGTACCCCATCACCTGGGCCCCTTGCAGCTGCCTTCCCAGGACACTGGCAGGGAGCTGGGTCAAAGTGAGGACCTGGAACCCACGCAGGCGTGCCACTCTGGGTTGCTGGAGTTACAATGGCGGTTTGCCCCTCCCCCGTGTCACAATGCTGCCACCCCCACCAATCTTATCAAACAGAAGTGTTGCAGTTCGTTTTTAAATTGCCCTTCGTATCAGCATTTCCATCTTTTTGTACTGTATCTCTTCTTGGAAATGCGGGATATCTTTTTTTTTTTTTAAGATTTTATTTTTTATTGGAAAGTCTGACTTACAGAGAGAAGAGAGAAAGATCTTCCGTCCGCTGGTTCACTCCCAAACATGCAAGCTGAGGACTTTAGCCACTAGGTTACTGTGCTGGGTCCAAAAAGCAGCATATCGTTTCCTAAGCTTAATTATATAATCCTATTCCAGTAAGAACAAAATTGATGAAGAAAATTTTCAACATACTTGAAATTTTATTACTATGTAAGAATACATGTTCATTTTTGTTCTACTATTTCATATTTTAGCTAAGCAATTTTTTCATCAAGAAAAAGTGGTAATAATCTTAGAAAACATTTCTCTTTCTTTGACACATTAATTCAGTTACATTAAAAACATTTTAAGGGTGCCAGTGCTGTGGCACAGTAGGCTAATCTTTGCCTATAGCGCTGGCACACTGCACATGTGTTGGTTCACGTCCCAGCTACTCCATTTCTGGTCCAGTTCCCTGCCTGTGGCCTGGGAAAGTGCAGGAAGGAACGGCTCAAGTCCCTGGTCCCCTGCACCCGTATGGGTGACCCTAAGATTCTTCTGGCTTCTGCTTAGGATCAGCTCAGCTCTAGGTTGGGCCTCTGTGACTTGTTGGGGAATGAACAAGCAGATGGAAGATCTCTCTCTTTACTCTGTAACTCTTTCACATAAATATTTTAAAAACATATAAAACAAACAAACAACAACAAAAAAATCTTAATAATGAGATTAGCATGGGGAAACAATGGATGCATACAGTATATACCTTTTCCCCTGAATAACAGCAGGATTTCCATTATTATTATTTAAAAGATTTATTTATTTATTGGAAAGTCAGATATACAGAGAGGAGGAGAGACAGAGAGGAAGATCTTTCGTCCGATGATTCACTCCCCAAGTGACTGCAACGGCCGATGCTATGCCCATCCAAAGCCAGGATCCAGGAACTTCTTTCAGGTCTCCCACACGGGTGCAGGGTCCTAAAGCCTTGGGCCGTTCTTGACTGCTTTCCCAGGCCACAAGCAGGGAGCTGGATGGGAAGTAGAGCAGCTGGGACATGAACCAGCATCCATGTGGGATCCCGGCGCCTTCAAGGCGAGGACTTTAGCTGCTAGGCCTCACTGCCGGGCCCTCCTATTATTATTTTTAACTATGCTTTTATGTTATGCTACTTTATCTTCTTCTCCTATCCTTGCCATATCATGAATTATATATACATGTAAATAACCATTTATATATCTGAAAGTTAAGACTGTAGTGTTGAATGACTATGTCATTGTAATACCTTGGGAACAGGGCCTGGTGTTGTAGCCTTGTGGCTAAATGCTTATCTTAAACAGCCAGGATCCCATTTGGGTGGCAGTTTGTGTCCCAGTTGCTCTACTTCCCATCCAGCTCCCTGCCTGTGGCCTAGGAAAGCAGTAGAGGACAGCCCAAAGCCTTGGGACCCTGGACCCAGGTGGGAGACCTGGAAGAAGCTCCTGGCTTCGGATTGGTTTGGTTCAGCTCAGGCCATAGTGGCCACTTGGGGAGTGAATCAGCAGACAGAAGATCTTTCCCTCTGTTTCTCCTCTCTGTAGATTTGACTTCGCAATAAAATAAATCTTAATACTACTACTACTAATAACTTGGGGACAAATATTAAGGAAGGGGATAGAGTTAAGAAGAAGGGGGAAAGGGAGAGGGTGGAATGCCCCTCGCCCCACGCGTGTAAATCTGCAACAGTGGGAAAAAAATAAAAGTTTATAATAAAAAGTTAAAAATAATTTAGGGAGTAGGCATTTAGCCTATCAATTAAGGTCTCTTTTTCACACACTAAAATACCTGGGTTTGATGCCTGGCTCTTGGCCAGCTTTCTGCTAACAGACACTGGGAGGCGATGGAAATGGCTCAGGTAACTGAGTTCCCACTCCCATACGGCTGTCCTGGAAGTTCCAGCTCCGAGCTCTGGCTGCACCCTAGCCACTGAGAGGATCGGGTGAGTGAGCCACATGTCACTTACTTTCTCTCTCTTCTTCTCAAATAAATATATATTTCACACATATATAAAAAAATTGTTCAAACAAAAGAAATTTTAAATTTTAATAAGCAAAAAAATAATCAATATAAAGTTTATTTCCTCATCCGATATATAATTGGGAAACTGTTTTGTGCTTAAATTTGGTGTAGTGTTTCTTATCACTTTTCCCCCCCAATCATGTGTTATACTGGGAAATGTATTTTCCCCAACTAGAAATCAACCCTTGAGAGCAAGTATAAAGCTGATTTAATTACCTCTGGAATGGACTGAATAGACTCAATAAACTTATCCAGTGTCGCTTCCCAAATAGCCAGCTTCACTGGGGAAAAAAAAATTCAGAGTGGGGTATTTGTTTATCATCACATTCATGTGTACACGCAGTGCACAATTCCATAGCACTTTTGCTGTCATTTCAACGATGGAAGCAAACGAGCCAGAAATTTGACACCAAGATTTAAAACAGCAGCTCCTGTCAAGGACAGAACTCAAGAGGAACAAGACCCAGGAAACTGAACAGGGATATGGGGAGAATTTCTGACTTTCCAATTTCCAGCTCTACATCCTGGAAGTCCAGATGGGGACAGGGACACCACGGGGCCAGGAGCAGCTCCACGGATCAGGCAGGAGGGACTCTGGGGCTCCCCAGGATGGCACAGAGGGGCTGCAGTGGCAGTAGCCAAAGCCACTTGCAGAGGACTGACAGCGTTCAACTCAGGGGCGTGGATCTCCCAGCACAATGCTCACTTCTCGTGGAACCCCAGAGGGTGGATTACAGTCACACAGAGGTGAGCAGAGAGAGCAAAGGCACAGACAAGCACTGAAAAAGTGTTTCTGGTAAGCGTTATCAACGTAGATGGGAAGAACCATCTTTGCCACTAACTACTGCTGGGAGAGGAGGAATGCTCAGGGTTTGTTGAATAGTCCGTGACAGCATGTCAGACTTTCTGCTGAGGGCCTGACTGCCCTGGAGTGCACGCAGCTGTAGGAAGCCTGCTCTGCTCGGCAGCAGGTGTACACTCACCCGAAAGGCAAAGAGCATTGGAGAAAGCAAACTTCTCCAGGATGGCGTCATCTAAATCCAGTTCCGAGTTTAACTTGATTTCCCCTCTGTGAAGTTTTGACTGCCCCCTGTGCAGACAAAGACAAGGGATCTTTGAAATTTGAAAGGTACTTTTGGTTTTTCTTCTGAAAAGGCCACTTTACAATTTTTTTGTAGGGGCCACTTTGACAATTTCTACAAGTGTTCCCACACATTTTGAGGCAAATAATTCTACTTCTAGAAATTCATCCTAGAAATACTCAAAGAAGCAAAGAAAGCTTTTAGGGTCAAATGATGGACAATAAAAACTAGAAAACAAACCAAATACCCAATGGGATAATGGTTCACAGCCAATTCCACAAGAACAGACATCATCAAGGGAGAAAGATATTTAATAGAAATGGGAAAATGTTCACAATAAATTACTAACTGGAAAATACTGAATATAAAGCTACATCCACCTGCCACTGCCACTTCCTGGTCCTGGGAGCCAAGCAGCTGTGATTTTTAGCCTGCTAGAGTTTGTAGCACCGAGTGCGTGCATATCTGTGTGTGTAGCACCATGCGCACACACACACCCGGAGCGGGCACACATGGGTGCCCAGAAAGCAACAGTGTGATCTGGAAGTGGAGTGCAGAAGGGGCGCAGGGAAACCATCAGCACCATGCAGGAAATCCCATCAGGCCTTCCTTCGTTCTGTCTCTAGGTGTGCATCCTGCTTCCTGGGTGCACCCCTGTGGGCCCTCAGTCTCCGGCCCGGAGCCTTTGGCTAGGCAAAGCCAGAGGATAGCAAGCACAGGGCTTGGCCAGAAGGAAGTGGCTGACGCAAGGTGGGATGCCTGCAGGCCTCGCACGGCCTGAGAGCTGCTGTAGCACCGGAATTCCCTGAAGCTCTGCCTCCTCCTTCATTCACAACAGCTCTGTCTGTTTAACCAAAAGGTACTTGACGTGGAACAGGACCTTCCCGACGTGTGCGCTCTCTGCGCTCTCCTGGTGGGGCCTAGCCAGCCAGGAAGGAAACTCAGCCTGACCGATCAACCCTCACTCTCCTGACCTGGACTCTCCAGGGGTTCCCACACATCACCTCTCACTATACTTCCTGGGTCTCCATACACCACTCTTCATTACACTTCCTTTCTGTTAACACCCAATCAACAGGATTTGCTGGAGAGAAAATGTTTCTGGAACAATGTAATAGATTCCATGAAATGAAGGAATGCTATTTTCTTGCTTCAGGCTTCTTAGAAAACTTAGCAAATGTTTTCTTTCTAGCATGATACCATCTTTCCACTTGTTTCAGTTTGTGGCTGGCCCAAGAAGTTAAAAAATTTGTTTAATACCAACAGTTACATGGTTTTCATAAATCATTTCCTCCGCTGTTTTACCTTTATTTCAGTCCTTTCAGTAAGTCTGAAAAAAGTTGCTTACTCTACTTTCTCATAGTTAAGCTCTTCATTTTCCCAGTGTACCAACGCGACTTCGTAGGGCTCAATCTCATGCTTTTCTAGAACTTGCATCACATGTTTCCTCTGAAAGAAAAGGAAAGTTAACATGAAAGTTAAAACTCTCACACTACAATTATGTTACCATGTTAATGCCACAATGCTTTTTCACTGCATTTAATGGTATGTTTGGTTTCTAAGGAAAAGGCAAATGCACTGTGACATTAAACCTATCAGGGTAACACACACACACATATGTAAAATATGTAATATACACATTAAATCTCATAGTTTATGAAATTCATGTGGGCATATATTTTCTCTTAGTAAAACTGGAACTGTATAAATTTACTGAATCTCATAGTTCACTAAAGGCCATCACACTTACAACATCTAATCAACACGGGGTGGAAAGTGGGCACCTCGCTCTGTTCTAAAATCCAGGCTGCCATGACTAGACCTGCTGTGTACGCTCCCAGAACTGGAGCGCGTGCACACACTGAGGCAGGCACTGGCCTGCACGTGTGAATCCTTTTACCACCAGCTTCCTCAACGGAGGAACTGAAACTGACTTAGAGACAGAGATCTTCATCTGCTGGTTCACTCCCCGCATGACCGACAGCCAGGGCATGGCCATGCTGAAGCCAGGAGCCAGGAACTCCAGTGGAGTCTCTCACACCGGCAGCAGAGCTGGGCCATCTTCTGGTGTGCTCTGGACACTCTAGAAGGAAGCTGCGTTACAAACAGACTAGCAGAGACTCAGTTCAGCACTCTGACATGGGAAGCCGATACTCTACTCGACAATGCAGCAAGATCCTATTTTCATGGCCTTGTCAGAGTACTTTTTAGGAACTGTCAGCTCAAAAGACAGGCATGCTTCTATCTGGTAAATTCTTGCATACTAATTTCCAAAACAGTTTTCCCAATTTTAAGAAGAAAATATTTATGATTGCATTTGTATTTTCACATATGTATTGGTTATTTCCTTTTTCCAAGGCCTCTTCCCCACTCCTCACCAAGTGGGGGTATATTTCCGCTTAGTAAAACTGGAACTGCATGAAGCATATTTTTAAATGATCTCTTATATAATATCAGTTATATTTTGTAATCTGCTCTTTGAATTTAACTATATCATTTGATAGACAGGTTCCTAGGAATATATATTTTCCACATGACTTTTCAAGTTGTAGTATATTTTAAACTTTCCTACAGTGCATGCTTTGATATTCATATTTTCTGCTATAACAAATAACACTTTGAAGAATGTTTAGGTGCATAATTATCATGAATAACTATGATTATTTTCTCTGGATAACTGAGTGTAAAACTGCTCATACAAGGCCAACTGGAAGGCAAGACTATGTCAGGCACTGGCCTTAAAACCTAATGGCATGTATGAGAACTGGGTCTGGGAGTGGATTAAGTGGAGGAACTTGGGAAACTCCCCTGGCGGATGATAGCTCCCGCTGGTGAACATGTGGTCCAGACCTGGGGGTCGTACAAGCTGGGCAAAGTAGCTCCAACAGCTGGGTAATGTGTCAATTGGTACTGGAACGGGGTGAACCGGGCTGGACTGAGCAAACCTTAGCCCACAGCCAAAATCTGAAATCAGGATGGAGCACAGGTCATGCCGAGCTCGGCTCTTGCTCCTACTGGTCTGCATGAGCCAGGGACGCTAAGCCACAGCATCTAACGCAAGGGCCGGGACAGGTGAGGGGCTGTGCCAAGCGGAGTCAGAGCAACCACGGGCATGCATGTGATCTATGGCTGGGAACAGGCCTGGTTGGGGAGCTAAGGGGACAACACTAGCTGGGTTGAGGTTCCCACCAAGGGACGCATGAGCTGGAATGGGGGCTGCGTTCTGATCAGGATATGGTTGCAGTCTCACTTAGCACAAGTGTGGACTGGGACTGGACACACCAGGCCGGGCCAGACTCCAACACCATCTGGTGTCTTGGAGAACCAGGGTAGATGTGAGATGGACTAGGCTAGGTCTCAGCCCCTACTGAGCCATGTGTGAGCCATATGTGGGTATGGACAAGCTGTGGCTGGGCTGAAACATCCAATAGTAAGAACCAGATTGGGTGGAAGGACAGGCAGGAAAAGCCACTGCTTCTGCTAGGACAGGAGGTGAACTGAGTAGGGCTGGCTCATTGACCCCCTGGTATGCTCAAAATCTGGCACTGGGAGAGGTTCTGATGGAGGAGCCTGGGCAACTCTTCTGGTAGGACACGGACAATGCAGGTAAGCACAAGAGGCATGAAAGGAAACAGCCCAGAACAGGCCATGGAAAGTTACCCACTGGCGCACATTTGGCATGGGTCAGGGGCAGACTAGGCTGAATCAGTTCACATCATCCACTGACAAATCCGAGCACCTGAACAGAGTGTGAGTCAAGCCGGGTTTGGTTGCCACAAAAAACTAGTGCACAATACGAAAAGCCAAGGTGAGGTTGCCTGTACCGGATGTGACCGCAGTGCCCAACAGCACACGTGAGAACCAGGAAGGAGGGGGCAGAGCTGGCAAGGGGGAATATGTGGGCCCTCCCCTGCTGGATGGCTACTCCCACTGGAGAGTATGAGCTGGGATGGGGGTGCAGACCAGACTAGGCCAGGACTAGAACACCTGTGTGCCTCATGTGGATTAGATCAGGGAAAAGCCAGGCTGGGCTGATTGTTCCCTACTGGTGCAAACAAAATCAGAGTGGGTGAGGGTTGTTTGGGCTTAGCTGCAGCATCAGCTGGCAGAAGCTGGCACTGGGGGCTAATTCTGTCAAGTTAGACAACAGAACTACCTAGAGTGTATAATCTGGGAGTGGGAGAGGCCTGGGAGGGAAATAGTGGGTTTAATATTTAATATTTAATCTTCTTGGGTTACTACTCCCACTAGAGGGCAAAAACTAGGACAGGGGCTGGGGTGGCTAGACAGAAGAGCATCCAACAACATCTGTGTGGGCTGAATAGTGGAGCTGGTTGGGTTGAACTAGGCTTCAATGCCCACTGACATGTATGAGAGCTGAATTGGATGTGGGTCAGACTGGACTAGTCCGCTGCACATACTGGCAAGCACGGGAACCAGGGTAGGGGGCGGGCCTGGTAGGGGTTATTGTGGGTCTCTGACTAGGCTGTCGCTCCCATTGGTTTATGTGAGGGCTGAGTGTGTGCTGGGAAGAACCAGGCTGGACTGCAGCACCCATTGGTTCTAGTGGAAGACTGGGCTGCAACCACCAGCAGCAACCAACCCAGCAACTGCAACCACCAGCTGATCGGGGTGATGGACTGTGCAGGGCCCTGTACTTGTTAGTACGCACAAGAATCTGGTCTGTGAACACCTCAGACAAGGTTTCTTTTGGGATCTCCCCAATCGAAATGCCAGACTCAGAACCCTAACCAAGAAAAGACAGAAAGACAGAACAAGTCAATCAACCACCTCACCCATGTGTTGGCAGTGAAAAACAGGGCAATGGAGACTGTGTCATGGACTATGTCAATCAGTGGATTCTTCAACGACCTCATCCTGCTTGGAGTGGCGGGACTGGCAGCGATTCATAACTGTTGAACTATGAAAACCACTTGAATAAGAATCTTGGATTATGCCCCACATCAGGGACCTGGTGTGGGTGACAGACTGGGTGTGGCTTCTCCCTTAATATCCCCCTTTACCTCAGATACATGAAGGAATCAATATGGAACTAATAGTCTTACCCACTTTCCTGTAGCCCTTGAACCTTTTTACCCTAAACAACTATGTAAAGATTGCGAAAAATATAAAAAATGGAAAAAGTTTATAAAAAACTGCTGAGTTAAATACAAAAAAAAACTGTAATACAGCTTATTACCACACTGCTTCTAGAAGGGTTGTACAAATACTAAACCAATCTTGATTTGGCTACTGAAGAAATTATTTTAAGGCTTAGAAAATGCGTTTTTTGCAAGTAACTCTGTATGCAGACATTTTTCATTTTTTATGTTATCACATGCAAATATACTTCCGTCCACTGAGAAGCCAGGGCGGCTCTGATTCTCCCTGAGTCAGCGTGTGCAGAAACTTACAAATAAGTCAGAAATGAAATGACAAAAATAAATAAGTTAAATAAGATACGTTTTGGAAGCTGAAATTGAGAATAAAGATTACATAATGGAGAGGGCAGATGTGGAGCGTAGTCCGTGATTTCCTCTCCAATGTCTTAAATTACTGAGGTTTGATTAGCAATTTGTGCTGTTCCAAGGCTTTTTATACTTCCACACTTCCCTTATACTTACAGTTTTGTCTTTCACATTCCAAAATACAGCAGCTCCTTCCCTGGTTGAAGAGAACAAGACAATCAATCAAGTAAAAGCTACACACATTCTCAGTGAGGCCATTCTTAGGTAATTTCTACAATGTTTTTAGAATTCCATTATTTAAAAGATTTGTTTATTGGAAAGGTAGATATACAGAGAGAAAGATCTTCCATCTACTGGCATCCTACAAGTGGCTGCGATGGCCAAAAGCTTCTTCTGGGTCTTCCACATGGGTGCAGGGTCCCAAAGTTTGGACTGTTCTCGACTGCTTTCCCAGGCCATAGGCAGGGAGCTGGATGGAAGTGAGGCAGCCAGTAACAGGAACCTACATGTATATGGGATCCTGGCACGTGCAAGGCAAGGACTTTAACTTCTAGGTTATTGTACTAGGCCCTAGAATGCCATTTTTTTAAAACAGAATTTACTTACTGATTTGACAAAATTGTCATATTTGACAATAGCACCTGATAAAGTAAGAGCCTCATCAAATTTCAAGGTGTACTTGTAGGTGAGTTGGTGCCAGTCTGTGGAGAGGGAAAATGGACTAAAACTTCAGCTGAGAAGCAAGAGAAAACGGCAAGGAAAAGACAGCAGGAGCTGTGGCACAGCCCAAGGTTAAGGGGACTAAGCACAGTGGAGGCAGGGATGTCCATGCCAACATGGCCATGAGAATGTGCAGATAAAAAGACCAACGAGGGAAGATCACTAGCTTCAAAAACTCTAAATGAGGATTTACCAGAGGATTCCTGACACTGAGGCGCTCTCCGAACCCACCAAGAATCAGATGCTGAAGCCAAAGCTCAAACACACCATGAAAGAGCCCTTGGCCACAAGGTGCACCTGCTCTGGGAGGCCAGCCCTGCCCCCCGCCTGAGCCAGCTGCCCACGGGGGCTTCTCGCCCGTCTCACCTGAAGAAGAACACCATTGCAGGGTCACCTTCCTTGGCGGCATTTCCCACACCCATCACCAAAATGTTTGCTGCATCTGTGGTTAAAAATCAATGAGTGAGAAACTGTGGTACAAGGTCTGAGTCACGAGGCAACACTTTTCTCAGTACTTACAATGTCATACATACCATGCTGTGCATGTAACTCAATGCTCCTCTTTGTACTCAAGTTCCTGATAGGCCTTCACACATTAAGCCAGAAGAGCACTAACAGTGACCTCATATCATTTGGAAAGAAACTATTTTCATACCAAATTTCTTTGCTATTGTTATTAGTGCTATTGAAAACCACTCATCCACACTCCTTTTGCTTCCGTAACCATCAGTCCAGCTACCAAGTGTTAGGTTCAACACAGATGAAGTTCAGGCATTAAACTTCTTACAAAATGGAATTATACAGATCTGAAGTATTAATAACCCCTTTTCAAATACCATTTTATTAATAACATAATTTTGATATTCACAAACTAATTGTGAATGAAAAAAACCAGGTTTATTTCTAAATGGGCACACAGTAATTATAGGTATCAGATGGGTATGATGTGACTTTTTTTTTAAAGATTTATTTTATTTGTATTACAAAGTCAGATATATAGAGAAGATATATAGAGAGGAAGTGACCCCAAGTGACCGCAACAGCCGGTGCTGTGTCCATCAGAAGCCAGAAACTAGGAACTTCCTCCAGGTCTCCCACATGGGTCCAGGGACCCAAGGCTTTGGGCCATCCTCGACTGCTTTCCTAGGCCACAGGCAGGGAGCTGGATGGGAAATGGGGCAGCCGGGATTAGAACTGGTATGAATGCGCGCTGCGGCGGCCGCCCCCTCGGGTGGGGCCAAGAAGGGGATGTGCGCCTGTGCACACGCCTGGCCTTTTCACGCACCCCGAGAGGTCGGCCTGTGGGGCGTCTCTCTCCTTGCGGTGGTGCACAAGGGGAGCGGGAGCTGTGGCCATGGCGGGACAAGCATTTAGGAAGTCTCTGCCTCTCTTTGACTGGGTGCTGGTGGAAAGGAGTGCTGCGGAAACCGTCACCAAAGGAGGCATCATGCTCCTGGAGAAGTCTCAAGGGAAAGTGTTGCAGGCGACAGTAGTGGCTGTGGGGTCGGGCTCTAAAGGAAAGGGTGGACAGAGTCAGCCAGTTAGTGTGAAAGTTGGAGATAAAGTTCTTCCAGAATATGGAGGCACCAAAGTAGTTCTAGATGACAAGGATCATTTTCTATTTAGAGATGGTGACATTCTTGGAAAATATACACATTGAAATCTATTGAAATGGCATCACGTGAAGCTGCCCATTCCAGTGATGTTCTGAAATCTTTCATCATGTAAATAATTTCCATGTCTCTTTTATAATAAACTAATGCTAATGACAAAAAAAAAAAAAGAGAGAGAACTGGTGCCTATATGGGATCCCAGCACGTTCAAGGTGAGGACTTTAGCCGGTAGGCCACTGTGCCGGGCCCAGCATGTGACAATTTAACACACGTACACAGTAACGATCAGGCCGGAGGAACCGGCATATCTACCGTCCCACGCATCTATCATTGCTTCATGTTGTCGACATTCAAATCTTCACGCCCAGCTACTTCCCCCTGCAGCTTCGCACCTGTTAACCATCCCCTTCCATCCTTCTTCCCTGCACTCTTCCCGGCCTCTGACCAATTTTAAATTCTATAAAGTGTGGCCCAATAGAAAATACACAGCACTAAAAGGTATTGATCATTTCGAAACATACCCACTTTCAAAGTTAGTTATGAAAACTGTCACTATAGTCATCCATATTTTTAAAATTCTTATTTTCAAATACTAAATATTATTAAACAGGCTGACATGCAAGCATTCATCAAGAGTAGTTGCTTTGGGGCCTGGCACAGTGGCCTAGTGGCTAAAGTTCTCTCCTTGAACATGCCAGGATCCCATGTGGGCGCCAGTTCTAATCCTGGCTATCCCGCTTCCCATCCAGCTCCCTGCTTGTGGCCTGGGAAAGCAGTAGAGGTGGGTCCAAAGCTTTGGGACCCTGCACCCGAGTAGGAGACCCAGAAGAAGCTCCTGGCTCCTGGCTTCAAATTGGCTCAGCTCTGGCTGTTGCAGCCGCTTGGGGAGTGAACCATCAGACGGAAGATCTTCCTCTGTCTCTCCTCTCTGTATATCTGCCTTTCCAATAAAAATAGATAAATCTTTTAAAAACAAAGTAGTTGCTTTGTATATTAAAGTGGTAATATTTGCTATACACATATATCCTACAATGTAAATTATGCTAATAGATACAATATCAGCTTATAAAACATCACATGCAATTTCTTACTGTAAACTAGGGTCTTTAAAATTTCAAACTGTTGGGAGAGGCCGGGGAGTGGGTGTTTCAGACAGCACCGTCTTCTGGGTTAGCTCTAACTTCCTGAGACTGCCCATGTGCAGGACCAGGGTCCCATCCATGGCCAAAGGCACACAAATGCCAACTGAAGACATCGAAGGCGTGGCAAGCCCAGTCTGCAGAGCACATGTCATGCTGCCAGCAGCTTTGGGCTCCACCAGGGACGCACCTGGGCAAGCTTTCAGCTTGGGGGCTCTAGACATTGCTGGCTTTGGGAGCCTGCTGCACTTCTTTGTCACCGAATGGCACAGAGCACCTGTCCAAATCACCAGGGCTAGGAAGAGCAAGGCAGCATGAGCGCTCACCGCTTCCGCACAGGACAGGTGTCGCTTCGCATCCGTCTCGGGAGCAGGCAGGTTTCCCACGCACTACCTTTGCTACAGTGGGCCAAGTTAATCAACTCTGCGGCCTCTGGGATAGCCTGAGTTCACTATAAAATTTTCTTCCATCAAAATGGCCTCAGCTACTTTTTTTTTTTTAAATGGAAAATATCCTATTTTCTCAAGAATCCTTCAGTCTAAGTTAAAAATCCTCAAAAGATTTCTTCTTAAATCCATTTTGTTTAACTTCTTACTTTTGCAATTTTGGTAATTTTAAAGTATTTGACTGAGGTCTTTTTAAGGCTCTTCCCATTTCTACCAATTTTCGGGTTTTGTAATACGAAAGTAACTTTTTGATTTGACAGGAAGTAAGTGGCTTTTGATCACTTCTTGGAAGACAGATCTTATAAATGAAGCTTTATAAAACACACTAATTTCAATTTTTGTAATTTCAATTTAATTTCTTATTTTTATGTGTTACTCATATAAGAGATTCAATACTGCTTTAATGATACAATCCTGCTAAGAGAAAGCAAAAGGCAAGCAAATGTATACTTTAGACAATCTCGTAGGAGAATGGCTTTCCAATGCATTTTAACATACTTGGCCCCAGGAGCAAGCAGAAGTACCTCTAGGTAAGTTCGTGACTTCAACGTATCCGTGGGAGGTGAGCTCCTGGGCCAGACTTCCCAGATGATACTTGTCAGCTGTGGCAAAGGCTGTGCAGTGCATCAGGTCCTGTCGTGGAGAGAGATCGCGGGTCACCAAGAGGTGTCCCCCACACCCGGGACTGTGGCTGTGTCACCCTGCACGACTCCAGCTGTCTTGATACACCTCCAAGGTTCACATGAGGGATGTGATGATGATGGAGAGACAGAGGGGAGAGCAGGACAAACTTGAACTCACTCTACCAAACATCTTATCCCTGCAAGCCAAAGAAGGTGAACTAAGAGAAATGGCCACGTCACACGACGAAGCTCCAAAAAATGCATGCAATGAGAAAACAATACATGGATTTGAAGGCGTGTTTGCACGAGGCTAAGCATGGTTTAACTCTGTTTTCCCACTAACTTTCTGAAGTGCTCGCATCCGGGGGCCAGGATGGAGGTACTGAGGGGCTCTGGAACCCCGAGCTTCCGCAACTGTCTTTCACAGCAGCGTCAGTATCTGAGGTCATTGTGCAGTGTGTCTCCAGCCTTGCACAAGCTGAGACGCCTTTAGCTCTCCAAGGGGGTCACAGTCTCTTTCCTCAGGTCAACATAAAGCCAGGCTGTGCTCGGTGGGAGCTGACGGGTTCACTCCTGCAAGGCCACCCTGCAGTGTATGAGGGTGGGGGTCAGAGCCACTTCCGGGACTGCTGCAGCTGCAGCCCTCCAACTGAGCTCAAGTGGGAGGATTAAGAAGGTCAAGCGCAGGTTTAGCGAAGCTATTTTCCCCTAACTGTACTGAAAGTGACGGGGTCTGTGTCTGCAGGATCAGAGCTGAAAACTGGTAGCTCTGAGCTACATCTGACACCAGAGTTGACTTACACAGCATCTATACAGTCTGAATGAACTGTCAACAGTAGATGCAGACTCAGCTCACAAAATCTGGATTCCCACCATCTCTGGACCCAGTGGCAGATGTGGCAATCAGACTTTAAGGTCTCAGCCCAGACAGGCCTTCCTCCCCACTCACCACGTTACTGGCTGTGTCCACGTGTGCTATAGTACACACAATTCTGGTCCCCTAAGGACGGGCAAGGCAAATTACTTAGTTGCTATCTTTAGGAGAAAAAGCATTCTAAGCATGTGTTCATACACCCAAACAGATAACAAGTAAATTTGTTTTCATGCAACCATTCTAAAAGTCTCTGTCCTACTTATTGAGCTCTGTCACCTTAACACCTTCTCTTAGTATCTGATTCATTTGGCTCACCCGGCACCCACTCTCCTGTCTTCCTTCAACTTCTCAGATCTGCACTTAGCTTGCGGGCTCATTTTGATTATAAATAATTCACAAGTTTTCTTTTTTCCAATCCTAACCATTATCTCTTTCTCTTTTAAAAAAGATTTATTTTTATTGTAAAGTCAGATATTCAGAGAGGAGGAGAGACAGAAAGGGAGATCTTCCATCTGTTGATTCACTCCCCAAGTGGCTGCAACAGCCAGAGCTGAGCCCATCTGAAGCCAGGAGCCTGGAGCCTCTCCCAGGTCTCCCAAGTGCATGCAGGGTCCCAAGGTTTTTGGCCATCCTCAACTGCTTTCCCAGGCCACAAGCAGGGAGCTGGATGGGAAGCAGGGCCGCCGGGATTAGAACTGGTGCCCATATGGGATCCCAGTGCATACAAGGCGAGGACTTCAGCTGCTAGGCTACCTTGGGACAATTCACAAGTTTTAATATTTGGCTTTCTGGGCATCTGGTTTCCTTGGTTGTGAAATTTCAAGCTTTTATTTAACCTTAACAATAGAGGGAAAGGGAACCCAAGGATGTCTTTCCTTTGCACTTCTTCCCCCATGAACTAAGGGGGCATTGGCTGCTACTCTGAAAAGCTTTCATTTTCAGAAACACCTTTTTTTCCCCCTCCTGGTTCTTATAAGGAATTCATATTTGGCACTAACTGCTTATATATGTAAGACAAATCTCAGGGTTCAGGAAGGAGAGCAGCAACAAGCTGATCTAAAATAGTTACAGAATTTAAGGCCTTCATTTAGGATTTACAGTTTCAAAAAAGGAAAGCAACCTAAACCACTGTTTTGTTTTTCCAGTAGAGAAGACAAAGCACCAGCAGAGGGGGCCGTGGATCCACGTCAGATTCTTCTCTCAGTAATACTGCAGGTTCCACTCCGTGCTGCTACACCCACGGGACAAAACAGGAAGTTCATGTTTGGTTTTTGTCCATAGTTCCTGGCACCGAGTCATTCTTGAGTACAAACCACATCTTTTTTTCAAACGAGGTGACTCCTGGTGGGCTGTGGGACAACAGCAGAATGGGGGCCACTCACCAGGAACACCAGCCCGTGATGAGAGGCCCGGAGCTGTCAGTCTCCTGTCCATCACTGCAGGAGGGAGAAGGGCCCGACCGACTCCACAAGCGACCAGGTCGATGTGATGACAGCACCCGATGGGGGTCTGGCCCAGACTGGAGGACACGTCTTTGTGCAGAGTGTGGGGGCAAACCCGATCCCCTAGGAACATGGGCTCCCGGGCCAGGGCACTTCTGGACTGTGCCCAACACATCTCTGCATCTGGTAACTCATCTGTATGCCTTATTGCATATGAGATGTCACAATGCATCCCATATGAACACTGGTTCGTGTCCCAGTGGCTCCACTTCTGATCCTACTTGCTGTTACGACCTGGAAGACACCAGAGGATAACACAGTCCTGGAGGCCCTGCACCCACACGGCAGGTTCAGAAAGAAGTTCCTGGCTCCTGGTTTCGGAACGACTCAGCACCAGTCATTGTGGCAACCTGGGGAGTCAATCAGCAGATACAAGATGCCTCTCTCTTTCTCTGCAATTCTGCCTTTCCAATAAAAAAAAAGAAATCTTTAAAAACAGTCCTCGCTTTGCATGCGCTGGGATCTCAGATGGGTGCTGGTTCATGTCCAGGCGGCCCTGCTTCCCATCCAGCTCCCTGCTTGTGGCCTGAGAAAGCAGTTGAGGACGGCCCAAAGCCTTGGGATCCCGCACCCGTGTGGAAGACCCAGAAGAGGTTCCTGGCTTCAGATCAGCTCAGCTCTGGCCGCAGCAGCCAGTTGGAGAGTGAATCAGCCCTGGGAATGATACAGCCCTTCTCTGTAAATCTCGCTTTCCAATAAAAATAAATAAACAAATTTTAAAAAGAAAATGGTAAAGTCAGACATGCTCGGGTCTGCTTGTCAGACCACACTCGAGGGAAGCTACCCCACCAGCTTTCTCCGCAGGCTGTTGTAGACACTGACGCTCCAGTTTCTAACACTGCTGACTGCTGACATCAAAGACCCCAGTGCCTCTTTCGCAATCCTGCCAAGTGATAAGCATTCAATAGCTACCGGGCACAGCTGCAGGCATTCTGCAGGCTACAGAGGGCAACAACATCTCGATCCTGACCCTTACACAGCTCATTTTTCAGAAGGGAAATTCAAATAGTAGCTAAAAATTACCCAACATCTCTTGCTGGTGAATAAAAATTATCCTCTTGCAGCTTCAGGGATGCAAACACAAAACCCCCGTTTCTGCTTTTTGATTGCATCTTACCAAGTGAGCTCGCACTCCATGCACAGTGAGCAGCTAACAACACCTGCCTGTCACCACAGCTACAACTGCTTATTTTGAAGAAAAATAACTATATTTTTTTTACGTATTTTGTTGCTTACATTTTGCCATTATGTGTTTCAGTAATTCTATTTTTTTTAAAGATTTACTTATTTTTATTGGAAAGTGAGGTATATGGAGAGGAGGAGAGACAGAAAGATCCATCTGATGGTTCACTCCCCAAGTGGCTGCAACAGCCAGAGCTGAGCTGATCCGAAGCCAGGAGCCAAGAGCCTCTTTTGGGATCTCCCATGTGAGTTCAAGGTCCCAAGGCTTTGGGCCGTCCTCCACTGCCTTCCCAGGCCACAAGCAGGGAGCTGGATGGGAAGAAGAGCCGCCAGGATCAGAACTGACACTCATGGGATTCCGGCGTGTGCAAGGCGAGGACTTCAGCTGCTAGGCTGCTGCGCTGGCCCTCAGAAATTCTTTTAGGATTTATTGTAAGGCAGAGCATCAGATGGAGACAGAGAAGGAAATAGTGACTGATCTGCCAATCATTGGTTCCCTCTCCAAACGGCTGCAACAGCTCGGGCTGGATCATGCTGAAAGCAGAAGTCAGGAATTCCATCTGGGTTCCCCACCAGTGTGGGAGATCCAAGCAACGTGGACCATCATCCACCACCTTCCAGGGTCACTGGTGGGAAGCTGGATCAGAAGCAGAGCAGCTAGTACGGGACCACAAGCAGCACCTTAACCCACAGTGCCACAGCAGCCCCTTGTCAATTCTTAGAAACTACAACTAGGATTCCTTTTGGATATGTCGGCACTGAAAGACCTTGCTAACAGCCACTCTGAGCCGGCTGCGAGCTCTGCGCTTTCCTACGCGGGCACTGAGGCCATCACGCAGTGCCTACTAGTTGGCACAGGGAACGACAATGCCATACACACCAGCCTCACCTCACTCACGGACAGCACCGGAAGGTTGGTCCTGGACGGCTGCCTGGTCCTGGAGGGTTTCAGTGGCCTCTTGATTTCCGGAAAGTCTTGTTTGGGGACAAAGGTCTCGGCTGAGGCAGATGAATAACGCCTGCTTAATATTTTTATAAACCACTTCGAACCCAAGAGGTTCGGCTTGTGGGTCACTCTCCTGTGAGTTCCCAGCGACTTCCTGGGTGGAAGGGGCACTGGTTCACCCCAGCACTGCACGGCACTGAGTGGAGACGGCAGGCTTGTGCTTGTGATTTTCCCATTCATTCCCAGGGCTAGAGACTTTCTCAAACCATCCGCTGCTGCACCAGGAGGGAACAGATCCAAGCTGTGACGTATGGTCCGGATGCTGCATGTCGTAGTTTCAAATCCCTTAGGTGGATTTAACGTCCGCCCAATCAGTCTGTAGCTCTGCTGTGTTTTAGGTAATATTCTGTGAGGTCTGGCCAGGACTTGGAGAAGCCTGGCTGGCATCACCACATTCCGAGCTGGAAGAAAAACAACTCTAAGTTTGAAGAGTGTCTTCTTGTTGCTTTTAGTTTTTCTTTATGTGACCAGCAGACAGAGACACACAAAGAGCTCTCCCATTCACGGGGTTACCCCCACACAGGGGGGCAGGAGCCATCACCCACAGCCTGCAGGTGCACACAACCAGACAGCCGCCATGGAAACAGAGCTGGGATTTGAGTCACTCTGCTAGGGCATGCGGGTGCTGCAGCCGCATCCCAGCGGCGGCACCTAACACCAGCCTTTCAGGCGTCTTCTCCAGGTAACAGACATGCTTCTACCCGAGTCCAGGTGCTCCTGCTCCCCTCGAGGGAGACCTGGGACAGGGCTTGGGGCTCCAGGCTTTGGTCCAGCACAGCCCTGGCTACTGCAGCCATTGAGAGTTCACCAGTAGATGGAAGTGCTCCCTCTGTCACTGCAGTTTTCAAATAAATACACTTAAAAAAAAAAAAGGTAAAGGACAAACATGAATCATAATAAATTTAAGAGGTAGAACATGCTGCTTTTACAGTAACTTTGGAAGCAGATTTTCTGGGCTAGATTTAGTTCAACTGGTTCTTGTTTACCTGTAGTCAGTACTGCGCCATGACAATTGAACTGTGTGTGTGTGTGTGTATGTGTGTGTGTGTGTCTTAAGCTTTATTTCACTGATGTGAAAAGCAGAATAATGGAGCGAGAGAGAGTGTGAATGTAACACAGAAAGTTGGGATCATCCATCCTCGGTTAACTTTCCAAATGGCTGCAACGGCCAGGGCTGTGACAGCCAGGAGCCAGGACCATCTTCTGGGTTCCCCCATTGGGGGCAGGAGGCCAAACATTTATAGTAGCGTCTTAAGCCACTTTGCCAAGTGCATTAGCAGTGCGCGAGACTGAAAACGGAGCACACGGGCATTGCAGGCAGTGCTGCAGGACACACGGGCTCAGAGCCAGTGCAGAACAGTGAGGGGCTGCTGGCGCTGCGAGCACAGCAAGCCGGGAAGCACAGGGGCACGCCCCGTCCCAGACCTAGAAGGAGTTTCTGCCCCGTTTGCAGCCCGGTTTCCCGACCTGACTGTTGAGGGTTGAACCAGAGAAGAGAAGAGCTCTCTCTCTGCCTTTCCAATAACAAACCTTTTTAAAAGTGTTTGGAAATTCATGTACAGACCTGGATTTCCCCATTCTCTCTGAGAAAACTGTCTCCTGACGCAGGCGACCGCCTTAACACCGCTACAGGAAGCACCACTGCAAAGGATGTAAAAGCTATAGGACAAAAAATGTACCTTCTCTTTGCTCGGAAAGACACAGGGGTAACATTGAAGATGTTGAACACATACACAAAAATTTAGGCTTTGCTAAAAATAAACAAACACAACGGTTTGGGTCTAGCACAATAGCCTAGTTGCTAAAATCCTCACCTTGCACCCATCAGCATCCCATATGGGCACCAGTTTGTGTCCCTGCTTGTGGCCATTAGGACAGGCCAAAGCTCTGGGACCCTGCACCTGTGTGGGAGACCTGGAAGAAGCTCCTGGCTCTTAGCTTCGATCGGCTCAGCCTGGGCCATTGCAACCACTTGGGGGAGTGAACCAGCAGATGGAAGATCTTTATCTGTCTCCTCTCTCTGTACAGCTGCCTTACCAATAACAATAAATTTCAAAAAAAAAAAATGCATCTCAGGAAAGTGAAAATTAAACTGTCTAAATGAAACTTCGTGGTCAACTCTTGATGGTGGGTCTCCGGCCATCCTGTGCTGGGTGGGCCTGCTTCCCCGTTCCAGGACCGACCACTCACTGCCCCGGCACACATTACACAGCACCACGCGACGTGCGACTGCTCCAAAAACTGAGACAGTATAGAAAGAGATGACCTCAATCGCTTTTCACATTGGTTACTGGTCAAAATAATATAGAGTGGATTTGGATATAGGAGGTTAAAATAAATTTCACCTATCTTTTGTCAGTGTAGCTGCTAAAAAGTTTAATAATTGCTTTTCAAAGTTTATTTAAGGAGAGCAAGCAAGCACACAAGCATCCACTGGCCCATTGCTCAAGAGCCTATGACAGACAGGGCTGGGCTAGAGGTCAGGCACCGAGCCCACATCTCCCACAGCAGTGGGAGGAACTCAGCCCGGGAGACCCCCTCTGCCGCCCTGGTCTGCGCGGAGCCAGTCGGGAATGGGATGTGGGCCGAGAGGAGGGACGAGGCAGTCTGAAGTGCTAAACGCGCACTCTTGCCTGCGCCCCAAGCCACACCATCTGCTCTCAACACCATCTCCCATCTTCCCAGCTCGCCCCTGTTACCCAATGCCACCAATTCTTCAGCCCCCACAGGGACTCTTTTTTTTTTTTAAGATCTATTTATTTTCAAAGGAAAGGCAGATATACAGAGAGGAAGCTCTTCTGTCCATTGATTCATTCCCCAAGTGACCACAACAGCTGGAGCTGAGCCAATCCAGAGCCAGGAGCCAGGAACTTCTTCCAGGTCTCCCACACAGGTGCAGGGTCCCAAGGCTTTGGACTGGCCTTGACTGCTTTTCCAGGCCAAGCAGCGAACTGGATGGGAAGTGGGGCTGCTGGGATTACAACCAGCGCCCATATGGGATTCTGGCGCTTTCAAGGTGAGGGCTTTAGCTCCTAGGCTATCGGGCTGGGCCCCCCCAACAGGGACTGTTTACCTCAGTGGCCCAGCCATCTTTTAATTCTTTCTCCATCCCAACGACTTCGGGTCTTCCACACTCCATTTATGCTCATGTTCCACTGCCATCTCTCCCTCCCTTTACACCTGCAATCCCTTACAGCCTTGTCTTTCCCACACACTCAGGAAACGTCACGTTCGCACCTGCACACCTGCCGCCAACCATGGCGGGTACCCACAGCTCACTCCGTGGGGCCTCTGACCCGCATGCCAACCTCACTGAGCTCTTCTCCCAGGGACCCACCTGGCTGTGCCCTCCCATGGCTACAGGCTCCTGAGTGAAGCCCAAACCCGGCCGCTTCATTCGGCACGTGCCATAGAGCACCCCTCTATAGTTGCCCATTGGACTCACACCACCTGCCTACTTCACTTCTGGCTCTTTTAAGCAGCATGAACTGGGCTCTCATCACATGCCAGCCATGGCGTCAGCTCGCCGATAACACAGCTGAAAAGGACAAAAAGTGCCCATTTTTGGAACTCTGTATTATAGCCATTCCGTTCTTAGGTAAGCTTCAGCTTTGGGGGAGCAATAATCCCCACGAGGAAGACGGTCACAGCTGGGGTACCTTGCCACGGGGCCATCAGGGGCCACTGGCTGAGCGCACCGTGTCCCCAGCCGGGCCGACCAAAGCTCACTCAGGGCAAGAGACAGAGCGTGCCCGCGGTCCTGGTGACACCTGTGGGGCAGAGGGCAGGGGCGCGGGGGACGGCAGCGCGCTGCTGCAGCTTGCACCTGCGGCCACACAGGCCGCTAGGGAAGGCAGTGCACTAACCTCTCCGCCGGAAAGCAAGAAGCAAGCGCCGCGGCGGAGAATCCCGCGGGTGGCCAGCGGAGGAACCCGGGCAGGGCACAACCCCCGCCCCGGTCCCACGGAACGCCTCCCGGGGCCGCACGCGGCGCAGGCGCACAGAGCTCCAGGCCCCGCGGCGCGCTGGGGCCGCGGCCACGTGACCGCCGGACCACGTGACCCGGCGGCGCCGGCCTCTTCCGCTCCCTGGCACCTGAGCCCTCCCGGTGCTCCCCTGCTTCCGCCTCCCGCGCCTCTCGCGTCCCGCCGTTGTCCCCGCCTTCGCCCCCGGAAGAGCTCCTTGTCCCCGAGTCCTCCGCCACCAATAAAGTTTCCTCATTCAAAATCACCCCTCTTTTTTTTTTTTTTTGTTTTAAAGCCACCTCGCCCCTGTGTGGCTGCTCTGCGGCCGCGCCGACCGTCCGTTCCTGCCGTTGCGGCCGGTGTCGTGGAGCGCGATGGCGGGGCCTCCGGCGCCTCTCTCCGGCCAGGACGTGGGGTTCGTCTCATTTTCCTGTTCCTCACTGTGCGGGGCTCCGCCGGCCCCGAGGGGCGCGCGTGGGCTCACCAGCGGCGGGCGCCCGCTCCCTGCTGCCGCCTCAAGTTCGAGTCCCGCCGCCGCGCTCCGCGTCGCTGAGGCGCCAGCTTGGCTTTCTCGGTCCCGCATGGAGGACCATGGAGGACCCCGAGGATCCCCGAAGGATCCGGAGCAGCCGGCGCGGGACTCGGCCCTGCCGGCCCTCGCCGGGCGGTAGCGTTTATTCGTTGCAGTCAACTTGCTTTGCGTGTGTGTAGGGAGGAGGTATTAAACTTTGCCAGGGAAAAGCTGGAAATCTCAGATTGATTGAAAAATAAACCTAACAAAGCCAGGTTGGGTTTCCTACCTTGTTGCTCGAGACATTTTTGTGAGGTTTTCAAGTCTGTGCGAGCTGTACCCCCGCAAATACTCCAAGGCCCCCCAGCGGGCTGCCTACAGCCCAGATAGCCCTGACCCTGCGCAGGCACAACAAATGGTCCTCTTGAAGACAGAACATCAACAGCCTGCAGTACAGCTTGAAGACGGACTTGTCGGAACTTTCCGTTTAGATCGCCTCCAGGAGACTGGAGTGCAGAGGGGTTACGGTCGTGGGTTTTGTTTTTCACTTTTGAGGTTTCGCTCTCCGGATTTTAGGTCACGTTGCGGATGGTGGCGGAAGTGTAGAAGGGCTTACAGGAGTAGGTGGGACTGCCAAATTTGTGTTAGAAATAGGTCCTTGGAAGTGCTGCCAAAGACGTTTATATCCTGTCTGCGGCCATTCCCCAGAGCTGCAGGCTCATGTCTGACATCGGAGTAATTAGAAAAATAGTAATACTTACTATTAGCAAAAAAAATAAAATAGATAATAATAATAATTGAAAACTCCCGACGCAGGAATTCTCCTAGTATCTGCTGCCTGGGGAACTCGAGCCTCATTTGGCTGCAGGGAACCTTGGTTTTCCTCGGAAAGATTAGTAGTTAAAAAAATTAAAATTCAAGTAGGCTACTCAAACCACCTCAGAATCAGAATACCTTCATTCTTGCATGGTCAAATTTAGTAGCTGTCATTTCAGGAGTCCTGGAGCAGCAGAGGACAACCAATAGTTTAAGAATGCGAAATAAGTTGTGATTTTTCAGAAGGGTGAAAGAACGATTGAGTTAGATTTTTATCCATAAAGAGCAGCTTGTGAACACTTGGGTTGTAGCTTTGTCTCGGGGAGCCGAAGCGGGCACTCTCTAGAGCTGCAGTTCAGTGCCTAACAAAGCCAGCTTGAGGGTTTTTGTCCTCCAACTGGATCATACACATTTCCTTGTAAAAATCCATGATAAAGTGACACTGAAAATATTGGTGTTTGTATTTTAAACAAATGGATCTTAAATTTTCCGTGCTAGTATCTCTTCATCTGCAAGTTCATTCTTGGACACGTGTTGAAGATGTGCTGTCCGGCCTGGGAGAGGAAGCCGTTCGCTTGCTTTACTTGCTAGAGGAGCAGGTGGCTGCACCAAGGGAGACCTGGGGAGGCTGGAGATGGGCGCAGGGAAAAGGACGCTCACAGATAGGGTCTCCTGCTGTCTTTCTCAACAGCTGAAGACCTGGGACAGGAGCCTCAGGCATTTCCAGACTAATCATTGTTTTAGATAAGTTTACTTTTGGGGGCATGGCTGGTAAAGCAGCTGCCCGTGTGAGAGTGCCGATTTAGGTCCCTGCTGCTCCAGCTCCCCGCTAAGGCAGCTGCGAGTGCGTGGTCTAGGCCCATGGGGGAGACCCAGGAGAAGCTCCTGGCTTTAGCCTGGCTTGGCCCTGGCCTCGGGGAGGGAGCTGGCCGATGAAAACTTTCTCACTCTCCTTCTTTGTAACTCTTTCAAATAATTTGTAAAAAAAAAAAAAAAAATAGATTTTAATACTTGTCACATTCAGCTCAAATGTAGGCATCATGCAGTTGTCCTGGATTTTTTTTAATTTATTTTTTTATTGGAAAGGCAGATATTCTGTTTTACCTTTTAATATATGTGTGAGGAAGAATTTTAATTTAAATAAGGTGTTCCAGAAGCTAAAAGATGGGCCACCTTCTAGTGTCAGTGCTACTACATGATATTTTACCTGTGACTCTCTTTTCCAGGTCATTTGCATACCTTACTATTAAAGACAGAATACCACAGATCTTAACTAAGGTGATTGACACATTGCATCGACATAAAAGTGAATTTTTTGAGAAACATGGAGAGGTAAGAATTGTGTTTTAAGTTTAACTTTTTGTTAACGGATACACTAGTTGATATTCAGAGATTTAATTTTCATGGAAAAATGTGAAGGACTTTCTGGTTCTAATGTAACGTGATGGGAGGTGTTACCATGTGGTAATGAAGGCAGAATGTTAAGCCAGAAGGGCAGAGTAGATAAGGTGCAATTAAATTGGCATGACACTTGTATGTACTCTGATTTTTTGTTTGTTTTTCAGCTGAAGCGTTCTGAATTTAAATGCTTACAGGAGTTTGAGAAAGACAAAGTGCTGTGTGGAAGTCTCCTGTTTTCTTTCCTTCCCTTCTTGAGTTGAGATCCAGAGATGTGTCTCCCTAAGGAACTGCTCACACCCAGAAAGACACACAGTTTTGTGTTTTTGTGTCTTCACAGGAAGGCATGGAGGCTGAGAAGAAAGCCATCTCTCTTCTTTCTAAGTTACGGAATGAGTTGCAGACGGACAAACCCATAGTCCCCTTTGTGGAGAAGTTTGCAGACACCGACGTGTGGAATCAGTACCTGGACTATCAGCAGAGTCTTGTGAAGGAGGGGAACGGGAGGCCGAGCTGGTTCCACTCGCCGTGGCTGTTCGTGGAGTGCTACATGTACCGCAGAATCCACGAAGCGATCATCCAGAGGTGAGTGTGTGCCGTCACACGGCCCGAGCTTCCGGAACTCACGCTCTCGAAGACGTGAGGACCATGGCTCACAGCTGTTCCGGATACCTGCTGGCGGGCGTGGCTGCCTTGCTCATCTCGCAGGTGCTGGGGCCATCCCTGGGAGTGGGCGAGGGGCATCTTGGCTAGGAACTAATTCACTATTCTCAGGAGAACTTCTGTAAAACAAATTCTGCTTACCGAGCAAATCGTGTTAATATGAAGTCATTCACATATGACACATCTGGATGGGATATAGGAAGCCTGTGTTTTCTCTGAAAATAGCATGTCAGAATTTATCTCGTGGAAGAGACCCCAGGAACAGTACATCACTATTATTTTGCACAGTTTGAAACACGTTTTAAAATACCATTTCAGGATTTGTTTACACTTTCCTTTCTTGGGAAAGTTCTGATCGAGAAGTGTTTTACAGTGCAAAGTAAGAGGCAGGGTGGAGCGCCCTTTTGGTTATAAGGTCCAATAATAGAAGTGTCCTGAGCGGGAGAAACTTTTTGAATCTGTTCCTAAGACATTGGATGATTTAAAGTGGCAGATCGACCAGCACGTTTTATTTTATTTGTAAAATAAAATTATTTTGGGAAACACGTTGCTTTGTATTTGTTAGCTTTTTCTGACTTGTCTTTATAAATTGCTTTTAAAAGTCACGGTTTATTATCTTTTGCTGAATTGGGCATGTTTCAGACTGCTCTGAAGGCAAAATGCTCTGTTAGAACTCATCCACATTGCCTAGTCCAGGACACATGGAATGCTCGCTCTGTGCAGGCACTGTGCGACCTAGAGAAGTGTAGCTGCTGTGCTGGTTTCCATTTTACAGGTGTGGAAAGTGAGGCTGAGAGAGGTGTAACTTGCTGGAGGTTACTTGGTGAGCAGGGACGGGGCCAGGATTTGAGCCCAGTGGATGTAAAGTAGGTTAGAAGCCTCATTGGGCCATCTTTGCCAAGTGGTAGGTTTGATTGCCTGTGGAACGAAGACTAGTCTGAAATTCTGGTTTTCATAGCTTGGAAAATATCTGTGGTGTGAGCCAAAACTGGTAAAGTGTTGGAAGACTGGGCAGCACCTCCCAAGGGTTAGTGAGCTGGAAAAGGGACTGCCGTCTCAGAGTTGGATTTGGAGAGGTCAGGGTCATAGGACAGAAGCACAGGGCGGGCTTCCACAGTCCTGGCTGCGCAGTCACAGCCTGAGCAGTCGGGGTCACAGGGTGGGCTTCCACAGTCCTAGCTGCGCAGTCACAGCCTGAGCAGTCGGGGTCCCAGGGTGGGCTTGGACAGTCCTGCCTGTGCAGTCACAGCCCGAGCAGTCGGGGTCACAGGGCGGGTTTGGACAGTCCTGCCTGCACCATCCCAGCATCCCATCCCGCAGGCAAGGGAAGGCAGGTTCAGCAAGGTAGGATGAATGCTGACCGAGCTCCTTTGCTGGAGTTTTTTGTACTTGTTTTTTGTTATTTGATTATTTTAACGTGTCAGGGAGATTGGGCTTCTGTGCCCTGCTCCAGGTGACAGCCTATAAGAAAAGATGGAGGGAGAATTGCCCTTTAAGTTGGAGGAACTGGAGTGTTACCTGGAGGATGGGGTTCTCACAGTGGCAGATGTTGCAGCCTGGGGGTTGGTGGTGTGCTGTGTGTCGAGACACTCAGTGTCGAGACAGTGTGATGAACAGCTGTCTCGTTGTGGAACTACCTCTGGAGTGGCTTGCTTTTCTTTTTTCTTTAAGATTTATTTATTTTTATTTGAAAGGCAGATTCCCAGGGACAGGGAGAAAGAGAGAGGGTTTTTCCGTCTGGGGGTTCGTGTCCCAGATGGCCACAGTGACTGCAGCTGAGCTGATCCGCAGCCAGGAGCCAGCAGCTGCTTGGGTCTCCCCTGCTGGCGCAGAGTCCCGACGGGCTGCATCTGTTTCACTGCTTTTCAGGCTACCAGCAGGGTAGATGTGGAAGCAGTGGGGCATGAACTAGCACCTACATGGGACGCTGGTGCCACACAGTGGAGATTAACCTGTTGAGCTAGTGCACTGGCCCTGAAGTGGATTTTTTTAGTCATTCATTTTTAAATTTTTATTGTGTTTTTTTTCTGGGATACATTTTTGTAGATTCGGAATGCGTCCCCCCTCACCCCATGTTATCCCAGTAGTACAGTGTAGTGTAATATGAGTTTAACTTTGTGATACTTAAATGTATCATGACATGTAAGTCCTGGCCAAGGTAAGTGAAGGTGCCAGGCGGTGTGTGGCTCTTCCCCTGGGCAGGAGGAGGGAGGACTCACTGGTTTCTAAGTGTGCAGTCCGTTTGGTGCTGATGGGGAGAGTCCCGTCCTGGTGGTCCTTGTAGGATCCCAAAGCACGCAGTAGTGCTACAACATGTTTATGCTGATTTTTTTCTCCGTCATACTGAAACATAGACTTGTCAAAATTCTTTGTCAAAATGTTTGATTCTTACTAGATAGCCTGCAAATATGAATTAAGATTCAAAATTTTGGTCATATATGAAACTTAAATACATTAAACAGGTACATCATATTTTTTTAGAAGATTAATTTTTTATTGCAAAGTCATATACACAGAGATGAGGAGAGACAGGAGCGGGGAATCCCATTTGGGTGTCAGTTCGTGTCGTATCTGCTCCACTTCCCTCCCAGCTCCCTGCTTGTGGCCTGGGAAAGCAGCTGAGGACGGCCCAAGGCCTTGGGACCCTGCACCCACGTAGGAGACCCAGATGAAGCTCCTGGCTCCTGGCATCAGATCGGCTCGGCCCCAGCTGTTTGTGTTGTTTAGGGAGTGAACCAGCGGATGGAAGATCTTTCTCCCTGTCTTTCCTTCTTTCTGTTGACCTGCCTTTTCAGTAAGAATAATTTAAAAAAAAAAAAAAAAGCTAACTTTACTTCATCCGGTCTTCCTTTGTTTCTGCCCTGACGTGGATGACCTACAAGAAGAGTCGCTGGTTTGTTAGATTAGATACCTGAACTTCTTTACTGCTCATTTGTGTAAATAAAATAGCACTTTGAGTTTCCCCCAATCTGAAAATTCAACATGTTCTAAAGTACAAACTTTGAAAGAAAAAAATCTTCACCAAATTTAATTAATTAATTGTCTTTACTTGCAAAGTAGGGAGAGAGAGGAAGGGAGATCTTCCACTGGTTTAGTTGCCAAATAGCTTCCAGAGCGGTAGCTAGGCCGCAGTGAAGCCAAACCATAGTCTAGAACTCCATGGGACCTTCCGGGTGGCTGGGACCCACCTCCTCGGGCCATCACCTGATCCCTTCAGAGGGTGCGTGTTAGCGGGAAGCTTGGCCAGAGGCAAAGCTGGTGCTGAGGCCGAGCACTGTGACACGTGGACTGTGGGCCTCTCAGCAGTGTCTTAAGCGATGGACTGAACCCTGGGTTTTTGAGCCCCATGTCAGGGCTCAAATATTGTAGATTGTGGTTTATTTTTAATTCACATTTGGACAGTACGGTTGCTCCAGTCTGAAATGTTTCTCTTCGTGAGCATTTCAGATAAGGGGTACTTGGCCTGGATGGGTTACCTGTTATGTTAATTTAACTGGAAGGCGTGAAGACACAAGCCACTGTAGGAGCATTATCTTTGCTATAAGTTGTCCTGGACAAAAGAGTTGATCAGTAAAAATCTTTATAAACATGATTCATTCTAGTAAAATTTATAGTAGTATGAAGTCTGATTGTCTCAAGCCCACATCGTGTTTCACATTAGTCTGTGTTGGACTCTGTTAGTGATGGCTGTGTTGTATCCTAATATCTGCTTATATCCATGTCATGGTTACCAGGATTCCTGCTGTACCGAGTTATGAAAAAGGTTTGATGAACTAAAGCAATTATCTTGAAATTTTGTGGGTTTTTTTTCCTTCTTTTACCTTGGAATTCCTGCTGAATAGATATAGACATTAACACTATAATCATTTAGTAGCACTTCTGGTAAAATAATTGATCTGAGAACTTTTACTTAAAATGAGTTTGGAGGATCTGTTTTTGTGGAACTTGTCCACACGGTATCTAGTATCTGTTTCTTCTAATTAGTGAGACATGATGGCAGTGTTCTTCCCTTTGAAGTTACTTTTTTTAAGTATGAGCCTGTGTGAATGTGTTTCTTATGTTTTCTGCCTACTTTAGCCCACCAATTGATGACTTTGATGTATTTAAAGAATCCAAAGACCAGAATTTCTTTGAATCGCAGCAGTCTATCATTGCTTTGTGCACTCACCTGCAGCAGCTGATAAGAACTGTCGATGATCTAGAGGAGAATCAGCTGAAGAATGAGCTTGCTAAACTCCTGCAGGTAACGGGAACGTCTTACATGGAGTTCTGGGAAGGCCGTCCTAACCCCCAGCTTCTTCAACCTGCCTTTGCTTCTCGTTTCTCTGAACTGTGCTCTAGGCCGGCCTTGGAATTGAAGCAGCCTAGCGTGCCCGCCCGTTTCCCTGCTAGCTTGCACTTCCGGGATGAGTTGCTTTAGAGATAAATAATGGATTTGATGCTGCCTTTTTAAAAAATTTCTGAATAGATTTATGTATTTTGAAAGTCAGAGTTACAGAGAAAAGGGGCAGAGAGGGAGAGATCTTCCTTCCACCACGTCACTTGCCAGATAGCTGCAACAGCCGTTGCTGGGCAGGTGAGAGCCAGGTGTGAGGAGCTTCATCTGGGTCTCCCACAGGGTGCAGGGAACAAGTGCCTGGGCCAGCCTCCGCTGCTTTCCCAGGCCATTAGCAGGGAGGTGGATGAAAAGTGGAGCAGCCAGGACACTAATCAGTGTCACAGGTGCCGGCTTTACTCACCATGCCACCATGCCAGCCCCTTGAATATATTATTTATCTCATCAGTGTAATAAACGGTGAAGAACAGTGGCCACTGACCTGTTTTCTGCCATCCCGTTTGGCCTCCTCCCTCCATCTGCCTGTGCTCCCAAGTAAAGGCAAAAGTTGCCTTCCTGTATCAATCCCAGTGAGCATTGCGATGATGCCCCAAGAGAAATCTGGAGGCGTTGAATTTATAGGGAGTACTGATCAATTCCCCCAGCTCACAGGAAGCTCCCAGCCATGCAGGTGCGTTTTTCTGGGATTGCTGGGTCAAACATTGTTCTGGGCGCTGGGCACGTGATGGTGGAAAAAGCCATCCAATCCTCTGATGTCCCAGAATTTGTCATCTTGAGGGAATATAGACAGTTTAGTAATTGCTAAGTTAGCCATATGACTGCCCACTGGGAGATGGCATGAAGGAACAGGGCAGGAGGCCAGCAGAAAACGCAAGCTTAGCTGGCAAATGCATGACGTCGCCTTGACTGTGCCGGGATTTTAACCAAGTCTGTCTGACTTTGTAGTCTTCAGTCCTCAATATGAGTTTTATAGCTTTAGGAGAATAGGGCTATATGCTATTTCTTACAAAATAAAATTGAGGGTTTCATTTAAAGCCAAATAATAGATTGTTGGTTATAGTAAGACTTTTTTTTTTAGATTGTTTATTTAAAATACAGAGATAAAGAGAGAATATTCTACCCATTAGGTTCACTCTTCACATGGTCACAACAGTTGGGAGTTGAGCCAGGCTGAAGGCAAGAGCCTGGAGCTTCTTCTGGGTCTCCCATGTGGTGAAGGGGTACGATTTCTTAGGTGCATTGGCAAGGAGCTGGCTCCGAAGTGGAGCAGCTGTGACCCAAACCATGGTCTGCGGGGCCACAACACTGGCCCCCAAGCAGATCTTAAGCCAGCATCACCTTGTCTGACACACTGGCTCTGTTGGCACCACCTTGTCCCATTGCTTTATTTTATAGAGCAGTGAATCTCAAAGAGGCAGCCTAAAGTTTTACTCCTTAGTGAAAGATAGACGGCAGTGTCAGTGGGCCCAGGAAGAAAAAAGGAGCAATTGTGTGTCTCTTCTGGCTTCTGTAAGCTTCTTCCCGGGCCTCCCTCCCAGCGTCTGTGGCTGTTCTGACGGCTCCAAGGTGCAGAACATTCTCATTGAACAGCATGGGTGCTAGTTTTTCAGAATGTTTATGTATGTACTAATGTAAAGGTGTCACTCTCTTACCTTATGTGGCATTGTGTAAACACAGCCCTCACATTATCTGAGAACACACTGATTTGAAGGAGTTTCAGAGTTGTGTTGGAATGAATTTTATGGGTGTTCTGACTGAGCCTTCCCCCACCCCTTACATAACTGAGTTCTGGCTGATTGTTCAACTGAGTGTGTTGTATTTTTCTTTTTACAGATTTCACTGTGGGGTAATAGGTGTGATCTCTCTATATCAGGCGGAGAGAGTAGTTCTCAGAAGAGCGATTTGTTAAATTCTTTGGAAGACCTGAAACCTTTCATTTTAGTGAATGACTTGGATCAGCTTTGGTCATTGCTAAGCAAATACAGGAAAGCAGGCGGAGACCCCTCTGTGCTTAGAGTGGACATTGTTCTGGACAATTCTGGGTTTGAGCTTGTCACCGATTTAGTATTAGCCGACTTCCTCTTGTCCTCTAAACTGGCCACTGAGATTCACTTTCATGGAAAAGCCATTCCGTGGTTTGTTTCAGATACTACTATACATGATTTCAATTGGTTAATTGAGCAGATGAAGTCTTGTAACCATAGATGGATGTCCAAGTGTGGGGCCGACTGGCAAAAGTACATTAACACAGGCAGATGGGCTTACCATGACCACATGTTCTGGACTCTGCCACACGAATACTGTGCAATGCCCCAGGTCGCTCCTGACTTATATGCCGAACTACAGAAGGCCCATTTGATTTTATTCAAGGGTGATTTGAATTACCGGAAGTTGACAGGCGACAGAAAATGGGAGTTTACCGTCCCATTTCACCAGGCCCTGAGTGGCTTCCATCCAGCGCCTCTGTGCAGCATTCGGACATTGAAAGCTGAGGTCCAGGTCGGCCTGCAGCCCGGGCAAGCGGAGCAGCTCACGGCGACTGAGCCCCGCTGGCTGACCAGCGGGCAGTACGGAGTGCTGCAGTTCCACGCTCTGCTTTGATGCCTCTGGAAGCTTCCCTGTTGGCTGCTTCTTCTGCACACGCTGGTGGGTTTTGGAGGGATGTCTTGGCCCAAACTCTGTGCTGGAGCTGGGTGGTTTAGGGATTTTTGTGACATTTTGGGGTAAGTGCATAATTTCAAGCAAGTTTAATTATGTTTAAATCAGTAGAAAGAAAAGTAGAAATGCATCCTGCCTTTAACGTTTTTTTCTGAAATGATATACTGTATTGTGTCTGCTAGGTTAGGATGCATGGAATTTTACTTGATTTGATTTAAAATAATAGCTCTGTGAAATACACATTTTAGTTATTATAAAGTGAGGCTTTCCTCACATTGTCATATTTGAACACATAATAGTAAAACTTATAAATTAATTATCTTTGCTCCTCTTGAATTCCATCTCATTTCCATTGCCTCTTTTATCTGCATGGATTTATTGATTGACCCGTAGAACATATATTAAGAAATCACAAAATTGACCTGTGAAGATGGATGGTGTTTGAAGAAGTGTAACGTATTTTATACTCTATTTATGATATCTGTAAGCAATTCAGATTACCTCACAAGTGTTGTAAAGGACTGGATTGTTAGTTTGCTGTTAGAAAAGTGTTTTAGGAAAGGTTCTAATGCATTGAATTTGGAGTATTAACAACAATGAGTGAATTCATTTTTTATATTATATATTTTACTATTACTTACCACTACAGATATTAATAAGTAACAATTTTCATTCAGTTTGTTTTGAAACTGAAGTTGGAAAATTACCTGGAAATGTTTTCTTGCACTGGAATAATAAAATGAATTGTACTGAAAGATTCATTGTTCTCATTTTCCAACAAGAAAAATCGAGAAAAGGGTAAAGCTGAGATCTGTGTACTAAAGGAGGCAGTAGTGTGGGCTCTGGGGGCTGCCCCAGGCAGTCCTTCAACAGTGTGGCTTGTAGTGAGGTTGCGGTCTGTGCTGTTGCTGAATGCTTGAATCTCTTTTTACAGTTAAAAATTCACATTGTGAATTTTTTATTTTATGGAGGTGTTTGTGCTAAACATCAACCTACAGATTAGAACAGTCTGTAGACAGGATGTAATTGAGAACACAGTTGATTATGAGCAACTTCATGGCTGCAGTGAGCGCTGTTGTGTAATGTATGACAAGGTTTTCTCTGTGTGTTTTAAGCACAGGACTTCACAGTGTGTGAGTCTATGAGGAAGTCTTGCGCCACTGTTTCCAAGAAAGAGGAGGAACTGTGGCAGGGCGAGTTCAAGATGGATGTTCAGGGACGGGAAGCTGGAGCCGGGAGTTAGAGCCAAGTGTTGAACTTTGCTGCGCGATGCGGCCACCTTCAAGGCTGGGCTAAGGGTGCAGCCCATCAGTTGAGGTTTGAAACTTTGATAGAATTCACATACAAATAATCCACTCAGTGAGGGCAGTATTTGGTATACTTAGAAGGCTGTGCAACCATCAGCACGAGCCGAGTTCAGGACGTTTTGGTTACTCCTGGAAGACACTCTGCAGTTAGCATTCCTCATCCCCTTAGCACTTGGCGGACGCTCATCTTCCTGCCTGCTTGGATTGACCTCTGGATTCATTACAGCGGTGCTGCTGGATGGGGAGTGTGGCTTTGTGGCTTTGACTTGCATTTCCCTAATGAACAGTCATCTCAAGCTGTTCATGTGCTTGTTGTCTTTTTCTTTTTGAGAAATGCCTCCAAATATCCATTTAAAGCTAAATTATATGTTTATTGACTTGTATGATTTTTAAAATATGTCCACAAGCCTCTTACATAGATTATTTAAAATTTTTCTCCAATTAGTATGCTGTCTTCACTAAAAAAGCAAAACAAAAGGTATGGCACAGTGGCTCAGTTGGTTGACCCTCCCCTAGTGGGTGATGGGATCCCTTGTGGTCGCTAGTTTGTGTCCTGGATCCTCCACTTCCCATCCGGCTCCTTGCCTGTGACCTGGGAGGGCAGTGGAGGCTGGCCCAAAGCCTTAGGATCCTGCACTCCAGTGAGAGATCCAGAGGAGGCGCCTACATGCTGGCTTTGGATCAGCTCAGCTCTGGCTGTTGAGGCTGGGGAGTGAGCCAGTGGATGGAAGATCTTTCTCTCTCCTTTTCTCTGTAAATCTGCCTTTCCAATAGAAAGAAATCTTCAAAACAAACAAAATACCCTATTTTTTTTTTAAAGATTTATTTTCATTGCAAAGTCAGATATACAGAGAGGAAGAGAGACAGAAAGGAAGATCTGCCATCCAATGATTCACTCCCCAAGTGAGTGCAACTGCTGGAGCTGAGCCCATCAGAAGCCAGGAGCCAAGAACTTCCTCCAGGTCTCCTACATGGGTGCAGGATATCAAGGTTTTGGGCCATTCTCCACTGCTTTCCCAGGCCACAAGCAGGGAGCTGGATGGGAAGCGGGGTGGCCAGGATTAGAACCAACATCCATATGGGATCCTGGTACATTCAAGGCAAGGACATTAGCTGCTAGGCCACTGCCCTGGGCCCAATCCCTATATTTGAAAGGTAGAGAGAGAAGACTAGAGATCTTCCATTGGCTTGGTCACTCCCCCAGGACCTACAATAGCCAAGGCTGGACCAGACCAAAGTTAGAACCCTGAAACTCCACCTGGATCTCCACGTGAATGCCAGGGATGCAAGTTCTCAGGCCGTCAGCACACGTTTCCCCTGGGGTGCACTAGCAGGAAGCTAAAATCAGAAGCAGAGCCAGAACTGGAATGCAGGCAGAGCCCTGGGATGTGGGTGACTCAAGCCCAGCCGTGGGGTGTGAGGTGCGGGCGTCTCAGGGGCTGTTTTTTTATAAAGCGCTGATGTTTGGATTGGGATGCTGAAGCGAGGGTCCAAGAAACCCAATGACCAGGGCTCTGCCAACAGCAACCTCTCCCCTCTCCACTTGAGCCAATGTGTCCTTGCACTAGTTTGGTAAAGGTGCAGAGTAGCATGGGTGGCAGGACAGGAGCTAGAGTTCTGTAATTCAGCTGTGGACAGGGTTTCTTCCCCAGAGCTGAGACTTCTTGAGAAGGTTGCCCAAAATAGTGTACTAACATGTTTCAATGACAGTTCCACACATGGGAGGTATGACACCAATGCAGCTTGTAAGTTTTATGCAATAGATTTTTGTCAAAACAGGGCTATGATTGGTCAGGTACCTTAGCATGGAAATAGAGTGAAGAGTGGCCAAATAGGCAGAAGATGGTGGTTTATACCCAACAGCAATGGACAAGATCTACGCCTGTGATCCAGCTTTTCTTTCTGATTTCAGGCAGTATTTGGCATTTGGCAAAATACAATGATGTTTTTAAGCCATTCTAAAGACAGAATCTGCCATTGTTCAGCCTCAAGATCATGTTTCTACAAAATGAAGACACACCAGCCACCAAAAGCAATGTCAACATAGTTCAAACTCTTGCATTTTTAAAAAAGATTTATTTATTTTTATTGGAAAAGCAGATTTACAGAGAAGGAGAGACAGATCTTCTATCTGCTGACTCACTCCAAAACCCTGCATGCAGGAGCCTCCTCTGGGTCTCCCAAGCCGGGGCAGAGTCCCAAGGCTTTGGGCCAGCCTCCACTGCTTTCCCAGGCCACAAGCAGGGAGATGGATGGGAAGTGGAGCAGCCAGCACATGAACCAGCACCCATGTGGACATGAACCAGCACCCATGTGGGATCCTGGAGCATACAAGGTGAGGACTTTCGTCCCTAGGCTGCTAGGCTACCATGCCAGGTCCTTTTATTTGCATTTGTAAGAAACCCCTGAGTGAAATGAAAACACAATTCAGAGTGATATTTTTTAAAAGATATTTATTTACTTACTTAGTGTTTACAGATAAAGTGAAACCTTGAATCCACTGATTGATTGCTTAAATGCTCCCAACAGCTGGGGTTGGGCCAAGTTGAAGCCAGGAGCCAGTCTGGGCATCCCAAATGCATGCCAGTCTGTACCACTTGGGCCCTCACCTACTGGCTCATAGGGGATGCAGCCACAGAAATTGGCAATAAGAAACAGGTGGTGGACTGGAACCCAGGCACTCTGACAGGTGTGTGGACATCCCAAGCACAACCCAACTGCTGTGCCACATGTTCCCAGAGTTCCCTGCCTAATGTTACCAGAAATGTCTGTTGCAGACAGAAAAGTTTATTTGGGAAGGAGCCAGGTGAGCAGGGAAGGGAAAAGCACCTCTGGAAAGGAAGCCGGGAGGTGGGGTGCCTCTCGATAGAGGACGGAGAGAGAGACACCCAAGGTTTGAGGAAGGGTCTTGGGATTTTAAGCCTTCCTTGACCCCTCCTTGTTGGGCAGGGAACCTACAGGTGAGATGTTCCCCATTGGTGGTCTCTTAATTAGCAAATGGGTGGGCAATGCTGGTGCCACCCACCTGAAGGTGTGGCCAAGACCTCAGCAGGCCTGGATGGTCTCAGACTTCCCCCCCTCTCTTGAAATCCCACATCCTACTTCTGTAGGGGTAAGGGGCGACAATGTCTTCTGGCTGCTTCCTGCTGAAACAGGGTGACGTTTGGGTAAGGGGCCCCTGAAGGTGTGGGATCCAGAGAGATGGTCCAGGTCATCCAAGTTGCCATGGCAGAAGTTGGGTCTGGTTGTCATACAAGTTTGCATGTTCAGGGCCACCTGGAGTCTGAAGACCCCTGAAGGTGTGGCCAAGACCTCAGCAGGCCTGGGTGGTCTCACCTAACATCTGCCCTCCCGTGCAGCCGGCTTTTCTAGCTCTCTGCCCAAATTTTGTCATGCCTTTTTCCAGAACTTCTCCCATACAATTTTCTTTCCCTTTTCTTCCTCTCCACTATTTCCTTTTTTTCCTTTTTCTAGACAAGGGTAGGAACATTTTGAGCACTTCTGCGCATGCTTGTCATTACCTGAAGTACTAATGTCATGTTTGACACTTAGTGTGAGCCGTAAGTGATAACTTGCATTTGTAGAAAATGGATAAAACAAAGGGAAGAAAAACAGCAACAAGAACATAATATCACTGCCTCATTATCTAAATTTTTGCATGCATAGACCTTGTTGTTTGTGTGTGTGTGTGTTTTTACATTTCTAAGATTTAAAATAAAGGATCCCTATCTTTTATTTTTTTTTTAATGGAATTTTGAGTATTTTCCAATTCCTGACTTTGGTTGCTTGGCTGCTTGGTTGATTCTAGCATTGTTGTCATTTAACTTGTTATTTTCATCTGGTTTACTGATTAGTTCCTGCTCGATGAATGGAAGTTTTGACAGGATTATGACCTGATATTTAGTGCTGGCTGGGGACCCCTGAATTCTGGATTTGTAATTTCCATTTGTCTTTGTGCTGCTCTAATAAAAACACTGTAGACCAAAGCAATTCAAAACAGAGATGTATTTCTCACAGTTCTGAAGGCTGAGAGCTTGGCCTCCGGGCACAGGCGAGTTCTTTGCTTCTGGCTTGGCCAGAGGAGGAGAAACCCCATGTCCTCAAGTGATGGTGGCCAGAAGGGAAGTGAGTTGAGCCTGCCTAAAGCCATTTTTACAGGGCCCTTAATCCTATTCTCAAGGGCTGGGGGTTCCTTGAGGACTGGGTCATCTCTTAGAGGTACTCTGCACTTCAGCTATTAAATTTTAACACTAAATCCTAGCACCAGCCTATTAACTGTGTGCTCTAAGTTCCATTCTCACAATTGTCATGCAAAGAAATTATTTCATGTCAACAACCTCAGGGAAACTGGAAGGATGCTGAGGCTGCTGGCACTCTGGCACCCCCTGGTGGACACCTCAGCATTCTCTGCCCACCGCTGCTGTGAAACTGCTGAAATGTACTGGGGC